AACACAGATTGGTCTGAGCAGAAAAAAAAAAAAATCAGGCCTTAATAATTTATTATCTTATGTTTTATGGCTATGTATTAGAATGAATTACTCAGAATTGGGAAATGTGGCCTAAAGCTATCGAAAGAAAAACGCAACATTTAGCAAGTATCTTTTAGAAAACAGCTTTGTACAGCTCCATCCAGCTCTCTAGTTAGAGCATGGATAATTAAAGGGTTACGAGTCAGAATCAGTGGCTTCTTGTGGACCAAGTTTGATTAGGAGAGAAGGTGGCAGGTGTCACACCTCTGCCGCTGCCATTGTTTCCCCTTTGCGGCCAGCTTTCCTGCAGGGCCGGCTGAGCACCACTGCCATTGTTTTAAATTAGGAATAGGAGACCCAGAATGATTACAACAGGCACGCGGAGAGATTTTAATTGAAAACTTAGGAGCTGAGAAATTCCGGTTAATGACAACATTTTTACAAGGACCAATATTGTAGATTTCTGTTTACCTTGATCACGCACTAAATCTTGAATATAAAGCCAGTCTGGTGTTTATTTGTTTGGTTAGTAGTAATTAAAATATATGTGTTGGTAGATGCAGTGCTTCATGTTTATTCTGTTCCACAGTGTCTGCTGCTTAATATGCCAGTAATCAGATATTCTGATGAGTAATGCCTCAGCTGTTAAATCAGCTGGAGACTTTTTCAGTTTCTGAAGCGTACCTGATATATAAACTGTGGTAGATATTCACGTGCACTGAATTGAAGAGGGGAACACTAAGGTATGTTGAATTATATTTGGTATAAATCCAAAACAGGAACACTGAAGGAAAGAATTACCTGTTTTATTTTTTTTTAATATCAAATTGGTGACCAACAATAATTCTATTTCCAAGCTTGAAACATTCACAGAATACTCCAGTTTATGTCAATACAACCACTTGACCAGATGTTTTCATCAGCATCTTCTATACTAATTTACTAAGATTAGTGTCCTTCATTCCTTCTGAATGACCTACAGCTACACACTGGCAGATTTCTTTTTTTTTTTCCATAATTTTTGAGAAGAGGGAAACCTCACCAGTATTTTGAATTTGGCTATTCCTCTCCCTTTATCCATAAAGAATATATATATATTTTTTCATTAAAACTGAACTTGAGTGGCATGACTATTTGTTTAACAGAGCAAAAACACATGTATTAATAAACTGCAGTTCTCAAGTATGTGGCAGGAGCTACATTGATTAGTCTTGTATCTCAGAGTGCTTAAATATTGCAGACATCTCTGCTCTTTTCCACTTCATGCCTGTATGAAAGAGAAAACGCACTGTTTTTTTAATATACTACAACTTTACTTTGCTGGAAAGAGGTTTCTTCTATTTTCCTTTTTTTTTTTTTTTTTAAGAGAATGGATCAGAATGATGCAATTTTTTTTTTTTTTTTTGCTGTTTTTTATTTTATCAGTGTCTGAGAAAAATATCTGTAGTTGATTCTACAGCACATTCATAGAATATGCGCAGTCAGAAGGCAATAATGCATCTGTTTTTAAGATCCAAACAGGAAATCAAAGATTCAGGCCCAGAGCCCTGGATGTTTCTCCATAATTGGTAATTTTGCTTTATCCTTACATTAGGCTGTGGCCACTCATTTGTTACCACGTTTCTTACAAACACAGCCAAATGCCAGGATTTCAAAGGGAAAGGGAAAGGGAAACCAACTAAGTTTACCTTTAGCTGTTTGTTATTTTTAATGGGCTTCCTGCTTCCTACAGTGGTAGAAGTTGACGCTCCAAAAGCAGTGCTAAGGATGTTAAAAAAGAAAAGAAGAGAGGAAGAGAGGAAGGGAAGAAGGAAGGGAGGAAAGGAGGAAAGGAGGAAAGTAGGAAAGGAGGAAGGAAGGAAGGAAGGCAGGAAGGCAGGAAGGCAGGAAGGCAGGAAGGCAGGCAGGAAGGAAGGAAGGAAGGAAGGAAGAAGGAAGGAAGGAAGGAAACAAGAGTCTAGCACTATGTACTATAGTTGTTACAAATTGAAAAGAAAAGAAAAGAAAAGAAAAGAAAAGAAAAGAAAAGAAAAGAAAAGAAAAGAAAAGAAAAGAAAAGAAAAGAAAAGAAAAGAAAAAGAAAAAGAAAAAGAAAAAGAAAAAGAAAAAGAAAAAGAAAAAGAAAAAGAAAAAGAAAAAGAAAAAGCTGCAACAAAAAGATTTAAATCATTGTCTTTTAAAATTTAACCATGAAGATCTCCTTTGCACTGAGGATTTCTTACTGCAGGGATACACAATGGACACATTAGAAGACTGCTTGACCTTTTGAAAAAAAAAAAATATGTTGTCTAGCATATAGTCACCAAAACAAACCTATTAAAGTATAAAGGAGCTCTAAGGAAACTTCTGAAGCTGCATATTTACCCTCAGTGCTTCTTGGAGCAGGGGGAGAAGAGCAAATGAGGAAGAATAACTGGAATGTTTGTAAATTTATTCATGGAAGCCCCACGCTCTGATATCCAATATAACATCTACTCTTCTATTTTTGGTACTGGACCATAGAACACTATTTTTGAACAATCATAAAAACAACGTGTCTTTTAGAGAATTTTAAAATTGAAGAAAGAACAGAATTACATGATAGAGTTAATTATAATGGCAACACTTCCAGCAATTAAGATATTAGTTTCCCTGGTGTTTGTGGGGATTTTTTTAAGTGAAATTTTAGAAAATGGTTAGCTCCCTAACAGCTACAAATTTCAAAGCTGAAATGAACCAAATTTCTATTAGCAGTGTGCCTAGATCTAAAAGCAGCCTAATCACTCTGCAGTGAAACAAATGCAGATTAAAATGACAATGAGCCATGCAAGACTGAAACAGCGAAAATTCAACAAGAGTCTAGCACTATGTACTATCGGTGCAATGAATTTATATATATAAATATATACAAAGTTGTACGTTTAAAACCTGTTTGTAAAAGGGCTAGTTCCAGTAGTCCTCACCAGGTCAAAAAGAAAAGCGGTCCACGGTTCAGGGGCCAGAAGATGCGGACCATAGCCCTCCTGCTCCTGCAGAATCCAGGCTCCAAAAGCCCCATCCTCATGGACCTCAGGGGGTGGGATGGCACACAAAGAGGCTCTGAAAGGTATCTGGGACCATGCAATGAATGCATCAAGGACGTCTGACTGATTCTGCTGTTGTTATCAAGTGCCCAATGGAATCGCTTATAGGGAATTTGGCAATAATACCCTATAGAAGGAGCACTTTGTACTTATATAGTACCTTTGATCCAAGCATCTAAAAGGAGAGGTCTGTCATGACTGTTATGCCTGTTTTATAGAGGGCGAAACCGAGGCAGACAAGATTTTACCAAGATTGCACAGGGAAGTAGCTGCAGAAGGGAGGTGGACAAAGAAAGTAACTCTTCCCCCCATGCCTCTTTTAATGCCCCAAACTCAACTCCAGGAACGTTTTCTTGTACCACAAGTGGAGTCAAACTTCAGGAGTCAAGAACAGCACGATCCTTCTGCCCATTGCTGCACACTTCCATGGCATGCAGCACCACTGGATAATTCCCCTGGAAGGCGACCAGTGTTCACAGCCTGCTGCCCCTGCACTGCCAGCGTTTGCTTTGCCAGCTCTTGCCGCCTCGTTGCCCTCATTCTTACCCTCCTTTTGGCCCGTGGAACCAAAACAGGCAACTGTCCTGAGAGAAAACACTGCGACAAACCAAGCTGGATGCTTTGGACCTCCAGCTACAGGGCTGTCCAGGCAACATTTCACCTCTTACAGTGGGGACCTGAGGGTGCCCAGAGGCTGGCAGGGGGACACTGCTGCACGCCCTCCAACGGAACGGTTAGGAATCAAAGATTGTTATTATTAGAGTCACTCCTTCGAGAGCCATTTTAATGGGACAAGTCTCCCTGCCCTGCACGGGGTGCGGCCCCATAGGGATGGGAAGGGTGCCCGGGCCGCCTGGGAGGTTGGGGCGTGTTCTGCATGCAGCAAACCCTCCTATTTTCTTTCCTATTTTTTTTTTTTCTTCCACAGGGAAGAATCCCATTTAAAAAAAAAAAAAAAGCAGCGACGGGAGAAAGTTCACGCGCAAAAATCATTGTAGAAAAGGCTTTTTTTTTTTTTTTTTTTTTTTTCGGTTTGTGTATTACTGAATACAGCGAGAGGAAAAAGAAATCCGTCAGCGTCACTGTGCGAGCAGATAACTCACAGCCCGTGCCGCCGCCGTCCCGCAGCCCCCGCTGAGAGGAGGCGGCCCCGGTGGCTGTTTGAGGAGCGGGGGGCTGGGGGGCAGCTCGCTTTTTTCGTCAAACAGAAATAAATTGCACAACGAGACACTTTTCTTCAGCACCCGCTTCCTGGAGAAAAACGCTGAGCGCGTTTCCGTCCCCCCCCCCCCCCCCCCCCTTTTATCCCCCCGCGCCCCAGTCGGTCTGTGTGCGAATCAGGAGTGTGCGTTGCGAAACGTGCTTAAAAGCCAGGGAAAAAAAAAACATATATATATATATATATATATATACACTGAATATAATAATCTCCGTGCAAACAGAAGGCGCAGGGACGCAGCCTCCAGGCCGATCTCCGCGGCCGCACCCCTCAAGCAGAACTTCTCTCGCTCGTTCCCTTCTCCCCCACCTCCGGAGCCCGGCGTCCCCGTCGCCACCTCCCCCCGCCCGCCCCCTCCCTCTCTCGCTCCCTCCCTCAGGCTGCTGCTGCCGCTGCTGCCGCCGCGGCCTTCCCCCCGCTCTCTGCTGCCGCTTCCCTCCGCCGTCTCCCTCCGCCCTGGGAGCCGGGCACTATTTCTCCTCCCCCTGCCCTGTGCGCTGGGTGCCTGTGGAATGCTGCGCGCTGGGCCCGGCCGCGGCGGCAGGATACAGCCAGCCCGGCGCTCGCTATAAGAGCCTCCTTGTGAGCGCCGCCATTTTAAGCCTCTCGCCCGGTTCGGTGCTGGGAGCAGCAAGCAGCGGCGCTCGGGGACTGCCGCCGCCGCCTCGCACGGTCGCCACACGGGAGGCAGCGGCGGGGGACGCAGCCGGGAGCGAGCTGAGCGAGGAGGAGAAGGGCGGCACGAGGAAGGAGCGACGGATCCGGCTGGGATCGCCCGGGCGGCAGCAGCTGCGGCAGCCGGAGCCCGGGGGGACGCTGCGCTCTCGCCTCAGTGCCACGTTAGTGCTGCCGCTTCGTCCTGCGGGACCTCGGGGCGAGCCCCTTCCTCAGCGGGGAGCGGGAACGCGGGGGCTCCGGACTGCGCCTGGGGCGGGGGGCTCCGGGCGGGGGGGCGGAAGGGGTCGGGACAGCTGCGGGAGGCGGCAGCTGCGGCCCCCGGGGCCTCTCGGGAAGCGCGTCCCGGGGCGAGGCTCGGTGGGCTCGGGGCTTCTCGGGAGGGATTTTCGTTTCTCGGGGAGTCACCGAGCCGCAGTCGCTGTGGCAGCGGGGTGTGTGTGTGGGGGGGGGGGAGAACGGAGAACCGTGGGTTTGTTCGTACCGAGTGTAACGAACTAAGCGCGGCCGCTGCAGCCGGCAGGAGATAACTGATCTGCTGCCGCGTGGGTTTTCAGTCTTAATTGCGTGCCTGTATTTGCTGGAGGGCTTGCGCTGCTCGTGGGGGTCCGCGAAGTGCGGTTTGTAACACCCCACAGCTGGGGGTCCCGTCTGGGGACCGCGGTTACCCCCGGCTGAGGCGCTCGGGAACAACTTCGCGGTCGCTCTCGGCAGCGTTATGAGCAACTCGCTTCCGACTCCCCGTGAAACGGGAGAGCCAGGTGTGTGCCCTCTCCTGAAAAGCCGCCTTCTGTGCGCCGTCGGTCTCTCCTGGGGCGGGTTTCTCAAAAAGGTCCTCAAACCCTAAATTATCCTTTAGCTGAAACTCGCTGCAGGACGTCGTGCAGTTGATTGGATTCTCTCTTCTCAGAAGAGAGATTGCCGGCAGAGGTTTCTGGGAAGGGAGGAGAGGCTGTGAAAGTACCGCGGGCAGGCTGTGACTTCGGGAGCAGCGGTGTTGATCTTTGCAGTCGGCTGTTACTTCTTGATCTCTTTCTCGTGGAGCGGCCATTGTTCTGACACTCGTACGTTCCAGACATCTGTGGTCCTCCCATCCCCCAAAGTATGCAGTGGTGAATGGAAAGAGGCCGGGCTGGTATGCTGAGGTCGGGGGAAGGAAATCAAGGAGGGGTTTTAGTAAAACAGGATCTTTGTGTGCTGGGAATAGGGCGAGGGCAGGCTAGGAAACTACCTGGACGTGTCGCTATTTCCTTCACCTTAAGTTCAGATGCACAGGAGAGAAACTTCACTTAACAAATCTGCTTCTGAATGGCAGAAAGGTCCTCCGGCAAGCCTTTAAAACTGCAGTGAGGGAGAAGCTCGCTGGTGTTTGTTAGGTTAAGTTGTAATGTGAATTTCAATAACTGACAACGCAGGAACCTAATGTTAAATCTTGCACCCTTCATAAAAGATGCTGACAGCTGCAGTTATCTGTCTGCTGTGTCTGCTGCGGAATGGCTGGTACTGCTGGAAGTGAGCTGCTGAAGTGTTGAGGAGAAGTCTTAAACCTCTCTAAATTCAGCCACTGCAGGAAGCATCAGATTGAGTGCTGAGCTCTTCTGGAGCTCTGAGGAAATGTCATTGTTCTGTAGTTATTAGTTCACAAATTTGTTTAGTTATGAATTGATGGATCCAAGAATGTTCATGTTGATGTGTTTGACTGCTTCATTTCAGAGTGTAGGGAAGAAATCAGTAGAAATACCCTGATGAAAGGACAGAGCAACAGAGCTTTTAAAAGCAAGGATTTGCTGTAAGCAAATCTTGATTGGAGAAAGTCAGTCCGTTCTTCAAATGCCGTGTTCTTTTACATCCCCTGCAAACCAGGCTTCCTGTTCTTGCTAAAGCAATAAATGGGCCGGGCTGCTTGCCTGGTACGTTTTCATGAATGCTTGCATGTTGCTGTGACTGCCTGGTGTGTCAGCAACCAGCTTATAGAATCTCAGTCCTGAAACCTCACTGCCTTTCAGAGGTGAGGCTTTCTTTGTATGGTGAATGTTGCTTTTTAGTGACTTAATACCAGCAGAAGTTTGTGCTTCATTTTTCAGAACACAATACTTAACTGAATTCTTCTGTAAAGGAGAGAAGTCAGTACTGGTGGCCTTCTAAATGAAATTTGGAGTAGAGAGGCATGTAGCAATAAGGGAACAGGAAAGAGCAATTGTGATCTTCTGTTTGAATGGAAGTCTGAATGTGTTGTCTGAAACTTACGGATAAAGATGTTTCTGCAGAATACTGTCTGGTAGGCAGATTAGTGTGCAAACACAGCAGTAATCAGAATTGCTCCTGTTAACTCGGCTAAAGCTGGCAACACAGGGCTTGCAGTGATGATGGCAGCAAAACTCGTTCTGTAACTCTGGCAGACTGCATACTGTGGCAGGAAAATCGGGACTGACCTTACTTATCTTGAACATCATATACTTCATGGGGCCTGATAAGACTTGGTGAGAAACTATGCAGGCAGCTGGGACTTGTGCATGGCTCCTTGAGCATGTGGCTGCAAATCCTGAGCCTCCTGCCTTTTTGGGTGGCTCTGCAAGAGCTCCAGCTTAGCCATGGCACCCTGCTAATTCTGCAAACCGTGTGGCACTGAGTATTGCATGTGACTTCCTTGTCTGTTCAGGTGAAATGACTCTCCTGGTAAGAGGGCAGGGCATTATTGCTGGCTGACTTTCTGGCAAGCGTCAGAAGGCTTGTATCGGGGTGCTTTGCTGTGTGACCTATCCACTATTGGTTAGGGTTACCAGTGTAAGTAACTTAACTGGTTAATTTTAATATCCATCTCTGATATTGATTCTGAGCGAGAATTTTCTCTAGGCTGTGTTGGGACTATAGTCCCAAGGGGTCATGACTTAATATACTTGTCTCTTTTGAGATGAGGAAATAAGTAGCCAGAAGTTTGGGTTTTTTTGCACTGACAGATAAAATTCAGGTGCAAGAGAACTTACAATGCTTTTTGCTGGTACTTGTCTGTGTGGAACCCCATTGTGATCGTGTGAGTAGATGAGAAGTATTTGCAGGCTAACTTGGGTTTGATTCAAAAGCAAGATGTGTCCATTGTTTCCCTCATCTTGGGAGGTATGGGTGCAGAAGTTGCATGTAACTTTAGTTACAGGAACTTTGAACATGTTCCCATTTGCTTTAGGAAACAACACATGTTGGTTGACTCACTATTACAGAAGTGGAATGTCTGCTCTGCTAGTTAACACTAGATAAATTATAGTTTAAGGAATAAATTCATCCATGTAAAGGCTGAAAGATTTAATCTAGTATCCTAGACTCCTGCTTTTAAAAGGTAGCTTGAGCTAGCTGGAATGCATTGGAGTTGGCAAATGCCAAGCGTGTGGTTTAAGGGTATTTGCTGGAACTAGCATTTGTAGGTTGACTTGCTGTGCTGAGTAGATTTGTAGAAATTAGAGAAGTTTGCCAACTCTGCAGCAAATGTAGCAAGTATTCCTGTATTGTCCTGGCAACAATTCAGGTGCCCTCCAGTGGTCAAAACTCCTAACATCCTAGAGGTGCTGATAAATGCTGTTACATTGTCAATTCGTCTTAATTAAAAGGAAGCTGAGTGTTAGTGTGTTTGATAGGCGGTGCTTGTTGCACTATTGTAAATACTTCTCCATTCTGACAGACGAGCTAAGGCCACCAGTTCATGCGTGCACTCTTGGATTCATAAGTCTTTCACTGGTGTCAGTGCATTTATGACTAATCCCTCTGGTTTCTTAAACCTGAGATTAATGTTTAACATCCATATTTGGGGTTGGTTATGCAGCTGCAGCTGAAGGAGAAACTAGATTATGGTTGGATACTTTAGGAAGGGAGATACAGTGGCAGTTTAGAAAGCATTTGTCTAGCAATAGTTCTGTAATACAGTGGCTGTCTGTCTTATTGATACCTACTATCATTAACTGTGGAATTACTGTGTTGTTTTTACATTCTGGGCAGGAAGTTTGAGAGCTGACAGTGTGCTGTTACTGAGCTGCTTTAGTGGTAAATGAAATGTGATGCGATTGTCAGAGTTCTTGTAGACTGTCTCTAAATGGTTGTCAAGGCAGGCTTGTTTTCTGTATGTGACTACTTAAGACTTAAGGAGGATGTTAGGTCCTGACTGCTGCTCTTTCCACTGAGGAATTCTGAACTGATAAAAGCAGGGCTATGTGGAACAGGATCTACAAATGGTGCGAGCAGGTTAGCAAAGTCCGCAAGCAGTACAGCTATTAGCAGAAATGCTAGCCTGTTCCCAACTGAGGAAGGCAGGGGTACACATAATGTAGGTGATAGTTGCATCCCTCAAATTAAAGGAGGTGATTTTTTAATCTGTGATAGAACTTCTCTTAGTGCTTTGCCTGGCTGTGGAAGTACTCCAGCATAATGAATGCTGCATGAAAGCCCACATCAGAACTGCTTGCTGGTGAGTAGATCAAGTTGAGTCTGTTGCTGAGCAGAAGTGACTTAGTAACTGTTTTGAGGTTACAGGCATGAATCTGTGGTGCTCAGCTGATTTAAACAATGAAGACAGAGTAATTGGGTTGATAATACAAGTTCATAACTAGATTAAGTTCATAAACTTGGAACTGTCATAGCAGTCCTTTAATGCTAGGCTTCAAACTGTTGTCACGTGGTTGGTGTATACACTATGTGGAGGCTTTTTTTTCTCTGTGCTGGATGTGTAGCACTCAATAAGTAGTTGATGCAGTCTCTTCCATCCTATCTTAAATGTTAAGATTATGATCAGCTCCTCTTAGAGGAGGAAGAGACATAAATATTTGAGCCAATGTGGACTAGTGTATTACAGTATTTTGCTAGTGTTACAGTGTACTTGCCAGTGAAATGCTCTCAAGCCATTGCTTTCAAGCATGAACTGATGATTTCAGCAGTCAGCTTGATCACAGCTGTTGCTTCTGTCTCTTGGAGGCAACAGAAGTCTTTACAGAGCACAAACAAAACCCCAGTGCACAGTGTAGCTTTGAGAAGATTGCTTTGGCTATTCCATTTGTAGGTCATGTTAGAAACTGTTGAGTGTACTTCCATGATTTCTGAACACAAAGGATGTTAACAGACTTCCTGCAGAATAACTCCTGTGGATCCTAACGCACTGACGTCAGCAAAGTGATAAAATCCAGTG